CTTGAGCTGGGAAGCACCCAATCCAGCTGCATTTTGCTTGAAAATGTGCAAAGAATGTTGTTTTTAACAGTTAAAAGTGTATTTGAAGCTGATAGATTCTAATATGTCACTTTTCTGACCTTGATAACCGTCGTCATCTATGTCTCCGATTGCGGCAATGCACTCGCCGAAGTGTGCATTGAAAGCATTGTCACCTGTCAACACAGCGTGTTCTTCCATCACACCCTGAAAACAGAATCAAGCAAAAGAACAGTTTACATAAAGAGCTGGCATAAGAATAGAGAGAGGTCCTGCAGTACACTGCTGCAGGGTTGGCCTCTGCTGCACATAGCTGTCTTTGATCCAAATGATTTAACAAACACACAGTCACCTTTATGGCAACAACTCGTAGATATAAAATGTCCAAACAGAAGCTCTACTTTTAAATAATCTTACTGCTGAATCACACAGGGCTCCGTTCTTTCATTCTAGTAACACGATAATAAACACGGTCCGAAATAACTCACTATAGATTTGTACATCTGTGCAGATGAAAGGGAGTGAATGGACATACTTTAGTAAAATAAGTCTGCAAGTTATGGTATCGTGTTCCCACTGAGCCCACAGCTCCCACTCACGTTGCCCTTGCTGAGGTACACAGACACCTGGCCCTCATCCCGGAGCTGGCTGTGCATGGGTGCCCCCACCAGCAGATCCGACAGGCCGTCCTGGTTCAGATCAACTGCACACAATGAGGAGCCAAAGTAAGAGCCCATCTGGAACCAAGTCGAGCCACAGAGCAACAGGTCAGAACACAGACACATCTTCACTTCATACAATTGACACGCATTTAGTTGTGCTTTTTTTAAAAATAGCTACACCAATATTAAGAATATTTACACAATTTATATCAAGTTACTCTGACTGTCCTGTATTTAGTCTGAATGAAAAGCATTAACTGCACGCTTGGCTTTGGTTTCTGGAACGCGTGTTCCTTCTTTAAATCGCAGTTGCTTTCCGAACACCGAACACAGACATAAACAGCGTCGTTCAGACAACAACGCAATTAGAGCAGTGTGTCTGCAATGTTTCTCAAGAGTCGACTGCGTGATTCCAAAGGCAGATTAGGTTAAACAAATATTTTTGTATGGTTTCTGATGAAAGAAATGCAAAAATTCTGTGCTGTATATTAACGCAAAACAGGATCGTTAGAAACCAAAGCCACATCCAAGCTCATACCATTTTCCCTGAGGCTTGAAAACTCTTCACCAAAGACACACCATCAATTTTGAAAATGTAAACCTGCACAGAAGAAAAATAAAGTCACTGCAGTGAGCAACACAAGAGCACTTCAGTCCAACAGCTGGAAGCAAGACAAAAGATAAAGTCCCTACTTTTCCACTGCCGCTGTGCTGGGGCGCCCCTGCAGCTATGTCTATTACATTAGGAGAGGAGAAGTGTCCAGCAGTCACAGCGTAGCCTGGAGACACACACAGTAATCAGTTTCAGCTCCTCCGCACCGGTACGTTTCACACTCAGTGTTCCATTCTCATTAACCGCATCTCACCAAGGTAGCTGTATCTGTGGGAGTCGACGTCGTCTTTGTTGGGGCTGTAGAAGGAGTCAGAGGTCAGGTTGTACACCTTTATCGTCCCGGTCCAGTAGTACGACCCCGGCGCCCCCATCACCACCAGCTCCTGGAAAAAAAAGCACACTCATATTCATTATGTCGTTCACCTACTGTCTGCACTGCAACCGGCTGCAGCAGAGAAGAGGAAAAATGAAAAAAAAATAGAAAATGCTGCTGGCTGAAGGTCTGGTTAACCAGCAGCCGCAGACTGGTTTGTGCTATCTGCTCTTAAATACACATCCAGATGGCACGGTCGCTGGAGCAGCTGTCTTTGATGTGATGGAGTATTCAGAGCTCAAGCAAAACTGAAAGCTGCAAAATGAGTTGTTCACAGATCTTTATGGCACGCACAAGCGCCTGACAGTTAAGTTGCTCTCCTTCGACTACGCATGCCCCCGAAAAGGTGCCGTAACCTCGATCATCACTCAACTCTGGTGGATGCGGAGCTGCCACTGAGACCTCTTCCTCCATACAAACAAACCAATCAGCACAGTAACGACCTGACTCAGCAGCATGCATCCCCTGTGCTGTGGTGTCAAACATCTGGGCACCACCAGGCACACTGACCAAGGTTCAGACAAGGATAAAGGTTTAACAGTTGGACCTCTTTTCTTTAAATTCCTCACATTCTGTCAAGAGGGGCCGTTCAACTGCTTTAACAGATCCACTCTGACGTCCTCGATCTGTGGAAAGAAGTGGGTTTTTATGAAGCCTCTTCGGTTTCAAAACAGTGGGTTCATTGTGGAATCCAACACTATCAGAGTCTTTTCTTTCCTGAAGCCAAAAGTCTTCTCCTCGGTGTTATGCCCAGATTTCACATGATGGACAAAACCATCTTTATGCTCTTCACCTGAGATCTTTGCAGTTTACGTTTTGCGGTTTTATGTGGGGGTTTAAAATAATAAAGACTGCTGATGTCAAACTCTGCTGTGAGCCTGAGTGATCATAACAGCTGTGAATCAGAGGCTCTTTGACACACATCAAGGCATCTGCAGTAAAATTCCCAACAGGCTTCTGTCAGTTTTAGTATTAGCAAAAAGGAAAACCATTTTTAAAAGCTGTATGTCATACTTCTGCATGTGCTTTTTAGTTTGTCTTTGTAAATGTAAATGAGTAGCAGGGCTGCATCTCCTGATTGTTCTCTCAGTTAATCATTTGGTCTATTAAATGTCACATAATAGTGAATAAAGGCCATCAACGTTTCCCATAGTCCAAGTTGACATCTTCAAATGTCTTGTTTTGTATTTCCCACAGTCTAAACAACAACAGAGCTTCAGTTTATACAATGACATAAAACAGAGAAAAGCACAAAATCCTCCCACTGGTGAACCAAAGAATGACTGAAGCTTAAAAGTGTAGTATGCAATTCTAATCCAACACCATTTTTGCCAAAAAAATCCTGTGTTTGTGTACAAATGGGAAAAGAATGAAGTGGCTCAGCCAAATCCATAAAACACAGTTTCCTGTGTAACATCCAGAAAACCTTCGTTATCGTCCTGAATGAGCATCCTGGTCAAATATAGCTACATGACATACATGATGGAGCTCGATCGATCGGCATCATGTTGATGAGATAACGAAAACTGAACTATTCTATACAACATAACTAAAATATATCTGTGTGTATATATTCAGTATATATTTATATAATGAAACTGAATGAAATGAAAAGCAAATAATACATGCAAACCTTTTTCCATTCTTACATATACTAGTGTTACCTCTCATAAGTGACTTTAGCAATTAATACATATTTAAAACATCTATTGATTAATATTATGTTGACCAAATAATGGATTAGTTGTTTGCAGTGCTTGTTGAGTTGCTACAGATTAGCAGCTGGCTGACTAAAACGTTCAAACAACGATATTTTCAAAGGAAGAATAAAGGCAAAGTGAACAAAATTCAAAACTCCCCAGTGAGCATGGCTCCACCCTGACAGCACAGTTGTGCTCCGAGGACACATTTTAAGTCACTTACAGTCTGCTGAACATTACTGTATCCCTGAAATTGAGCGTAACTGTAATCTGAGAAATGAAAAGAACCTCTGCAGAACACAGAACACGCAGCTAACATGAGGAAGGAATTATGTTGCTAATGCATTGAAAACAAAAATGTCTAAACTGGTCAAATATACATCTTTCAAATGCAAACATATTTCTCAAATGCACTTTTTTTTCCCTGTCAAACTACATTTCTACCAAAATTCATTCACTAGTTAAATCTATTTGACCTTCCTCTCACCACATCTGCTCGCTGCCGCGGCCTCTCTGAACTGCAGACAAACACGTTTAGGGACCAAACGGCTGTTTATAAAATACCAAAAGGTACTGTACATCCAAGGCTGACGTCATGTGTGAACATAAAAAAAAAACAGTAGCACATCTAAGCTATAAAGAAAAGGAAGCTCATATTTTCTTAAGCGTTTTATCTCGTGGAACCAGACCAGAGGTCAAGTTAGGCCGCTGCAGCCTTTCCTGCAGTATCTGCCTATGGAAACATAAGCTAACACTTATCAGCAGTTAGTCAGCAGGGAACTGGTGACTTTGAAACAAACACTCGCTTATATCTGACTGTAGAATTCAGGTTTTCCACATCATTTGACATCTTAAACAACTTGGGTGAAAAAAAATCCTTTTTCAGCTCACCATATATTACGTCTCTGCTAACTATCCTCAGAATACCAGAGTCAAAGTCAACAAAGAGCGGCGGGAAAGAGATTCTTTGAAGCATTAGGCATGTGGTAGTGCTAAAGGTAATCATACTTTCAAGTGAGGAAATGAGTCTTCTGCGAAGGAAAAACAGACAGTAAGGAAGATAATTATGTCTAATAGTTTCTACTATGTGTAAGGTGAAACTGCCGAGAGAGCAAAAACTTGAAGATGTGATTAAACACTTGAGTCCGAACAGCGAAATGACTGATGAAGCTTCAGCAACGATCACAGTACGGATGACAGCAAACAGCTATCTCCATGTTAGATTAGCAGAAACGGAGGATTACATGTGTTAGGGAGATGAACAAGCACTGTTACTGACCTCCGTAAAAACTCCCGCAATCCCAGCTTGGCACGAGCCGTGCTCTTCCCCATACTTCTGCTTATAGTCTGTAAGAAAAAACAAACCACAAATTATTTCACTGTGTGCCTGAGCCAGCATTTACTGGAGTTTTTCCTGCATTCCATATGGAGCTAGTCAAAGTCCCGGTCCCATCCAAGAGGAATCTGGGGGCAGAACGCAGACTGAAAGAAGGGGTGCAACACCACATTCAACAAAAAGACCTCTCAGTAGAGGAGGGGGGGGTGAAGCACAGTGCTCTCAGGTTACAAAAATATTGAGCTTGGATCGGCACAAAATGCACTGTAAATATGGTCCCATGCAAAGTGTGTCTGGCTTTTCCACAACTGTTGGCAACAAGAGTTAACAAAGGAAGTGAAATCCTGACCTGGGGGCACAATTAAGGTGTAAAACAGCCTTTGATAAATAGCTCTGAGTCACATATCAAAACACACCAAGAGCACATTTGCCTGAGTCACCTTAAAATGTTATACAGCACATTATTTTTCAAATGGAACTCGTTTTTTTTAGCGTCGTAGACGGTACGCAAAGGAAAACAACCAACGGAACAAATGGATTTGATTTACTGCAATCACAACAGAATGAGATGTCTCTACCTCACAAGCAAATCTTTCCTTAAAAGCACCTGATTTTCAGGAATTTAAGCTGAGATTAAACCAATTTGCCATTATTACGCGTTTGTGAAGGTGTTTTTGTCTCGCTAAAGGGTGTAAACTCTCCGCTGGACTCATATGGTTAAAGCTGGCTCTTGATAAAGTACTTGTGTTGGACTTGAGGAGGAGAGATCACACTTCAAGGCTCCGTCCCTCAGTGCCAGAACCAAATTTAGAAGCCAGAGGCGCTTCACACTGATGGTAGAGGCCGCAGAGATAACGTGCCGTGATAAAATGCAAAAAGGAAAAGATAAACAGACCAAGTGATTCGCAGCTTTTGGGGTATTGGACCCCTCAAAGGGGGTTACAAGATAAATCTGTTGGGTTCCATGATCACTAAAGAGATAAGAAGAAAACAAGACTATTCTCCAGCCGCAGCTTTGAGCTAAATACCATAATGTCCACACAAATATGTTTCTTACACTAAATCATGTCAGTTTCTTCTTGTTTTTTACAGAGAAAATACACTTTAAAGGCTCATAACTCATGATCACACTGAGGTCATAACCCGTGTCTGTGTGACTCAGAACTTAAAAGCGTTGATCAAACCACTGGACCCAACCAACAAGGCCTCTATTAAAGATGCTGTGTTTGATCTTAATAGTAAATTAGAATAACTCGAATTCTAACAGAAAAAAAGACAACTTTTCAACATGTATGCTTCAGCATTCAGGCTATTCCTCATGACTACAAATAGTGAATTATTTCATTTAATCAAGAAATGGATTTAAAAATTAAAAGTGCCAATAATTGGAAATATGCTGGATGTTGGATCTGATAATCAGTCGACCTCTAATCTTTTCTAGTGTCAATGTCTGCATAGTTTGAGATGTTAATATGAGTTAAAATGACTAAAATGCCATTTGTGCCGTGCTTGTGCCTCTGCTGTACCTTCATAACAAGGGATGAGCGGTTTGGTCCTGCCCTGAAGCGTTGGAGGAATGATGGAGCAGTACCCATGTGGGAGGATGTGCTCTGAGTCGTAGTAGACGTTTTTCCAGCGGTGAGCACAAGCCTGCAAGACGAAAACAACCAATTCAGACGCATGCTCATTCTGTAAACACTGACACTTCAGACTGCAGGCCCTGATCGCTTAAGCCCCTTTTCTTCACACTGCTGGAGTCAGTGCGTCTCTGCGGCTGTCGAATGATCGTCAATGAGAGGGGGAATTAAAGCCTGACCGTAACAGCCATGGTCTGTGGTGTGAATTATCTCAGCAGCAGCAGCGTGAGATGTGTATTTCCCAAGCAGCATTTAGCGCTCAGCGAGAAAATCTCCACATCAACATTTGTGTTTTACAAGTTTTAATGTCAAAACAGCTCCTCTGGAGTTTTCAACTGGAGAAGCCAGACAATAGCAGAGGCAGCAGAAAAAGTGGATCAAAGGAAAAAGAACAAACTTCTACTTTATTATAGTGCTGCTGAAGCAGAGAGGACATTTCTTAAACTGACAGTGAGTAATTCTCAAAACAATATTTTGCCAATGTGTTTTTCAAAATCGCACATTCCACGGCAAACGGGATAATATAGACTAGATTTCAAACTGTGTGCGAAGCAGGCCACATAAATGTGTAAATGTGGTAATAATTTAGGACGCTGGGGAAATGGTGGCGGGGGCTCCTGTGGCTCTGGGGACAGTTCTGGATGCCTCTGTGCAGACAAAGTCCACTTCATTTCCCCCAAAACCCACTTTCACACAACACACACACACACACAGCCAATCTAAATGAATATAGGAGCTTGGCAGCTTGTGAGCATACAAAAAGCATCAGATGACTGTCTGGAAGAAAGATGCTATGTTGAGAAATACTTGTGTTTCAAAGGACAGCTTGGCCAACAGAAGTAGCAACACCAGCATGACCTCTCCTTCGAGAGTAGAAGCAGATTTGTGGGAGTGGGGGGAAAAAGGAAAAAAAAAGATCAATCAGCTGTTATAAACATAGCAAAAGCAGCTGAGCAGCAAATGAGGCTTTTACGGTCGGAGTATTGAGCCTGTGCTGTAGTTGCTGTTCAGTTTTAGGAGCTCACTGGTCGCAAACAAGGCCCTCAGTGAAAGCATAAGATGAAATCACCACTGTACACATCTGCCAAGCAGCCGTTTCCCTCCTGTTGCACAGAAACATGAGTCCATTCAGATGAGATATAAAAAAAAAAAACATCAGTACAGCACAGCAGCACGTGGCTCTGCAAAGCCACCGCCTCTCTTTTCTCACAACCTTGTCTGAATGGTCAAACACTGCGCAGCTAAAAGTTTGTTGTTACACAACTCTGTACGCTCGCATTCCGAAATCCAACGAGAAGTCTTCAAAATGTGACGACTGAAGCCAGGGGGGTTTCAAAATCATGCCAACGCATTCCACTGAGGTATAAAAAAAAATGGAGCAAAGAAAAACATATTGAAAAGAACGAAAAGTTGGCCATATTAAAAGTTATGTGGGTGTTTTGGAAAAAAGAGAGGAGGCCAGTCAGTAACAGGTATTCACACCTGTTGTGAGTGTTTCAAGAGCGGCACGGTCCACCAGAAACCTTCAAACCGTCCTGCAAGTTCCCTCACTGCCCACCACAGGAGACGGAGGTTAATGTTTAATGAAAGGCTGCCCTTGAACAGGACCACCGCAGAGGAGCTGAAGCCTAAACAAACTTTGCCAGCTGCCCTATGATCTCTGTGCAAACACTTAGCCGAGCACCTCTGGGATTAGCACCATTCTGATTTCTCTAAACCACGCTCTCATTTTTTTTCAATAACTTTTTGACAAACTCCCCCCCCCCACCTCCCCAGTTCCACTGACTCTTCCAGCTCCACACACGAGGTAAATGTTTCACAGCATTATGTAACCACACAGCACTTTCCAAATCTGTCTGGCGTTGGTCGTTACTCCGGCTTTGCATATGCACAAAAGTCATTCAGAATCTTTATTTTAATGTCATTTTTTACACGTGCCAGTCAGCGCTTGTAAGAATGTAACAGAGAATGGAAAGAACAGTCGTTTAACTAAAAGAAAAGGTTGTAATGTTGGGACCAGCTGTGGATTAACAGTGTGGTTCTTTGGTAAGACATGTGTAACAATGATCTCGGTACAATCAGGCCCGTTTTATGAGCGTACATGGTTCACATTAAACTAAATTGACTGTAGTGCTGCGTCCTCAAACTCACCAGTATTTTGCCGTTGGCTCGGTCCTGGCGGGCCAAGCTGACCCCCATCCACTCATCGTCCCTGTCTCCTTGGCACGTCTTCCCGCACGACTCTCTCGGCTTGTTTCCTGAAAGACAATGAGAGCGGTTTGCAGACGTTGAGTCATCAGGATGTCTTGGAGAAAAGCAACTTGTTACTTGTCAGCCATTGTCAGCTTTTTGAGATCTGTGTTTTATTCTTTATTAGTGCTGAATGTGCAGCTGCTTTTTACACAGTTGACAGTTTGAAGAGATCAGACATCAACAGTGTCTGACAATAACTCTTTTACAGAGCTGTTGCCATCTGAACTGACAAACTTATTCAAAGAAAAAATGCATCATGACATTTAGCATCGCTTATAGCAAGTTTTACTTATGATGTATAAGCAAGTATTAATATTGTACATTAGGATATCACATGAACAAATGTTTTTTTCTAAAGATTTCAATTAATGACTTTTTTTTATAACTGACTTAAATGCTGATCATTTCCCCAATCAATCAAAACATTACAAAGCAATGATAAAATCCACAAAAACACATTCCTTGGGCCCAAGGAAATACCATGAAATGTTATATTCTGTATCAAGAATTTACAATACACCAGATCACAATAACCTTAAATCCCTAAATTAGTGATCTGAATGACTGATCTGTCAAAATTGCTGTATTTAGTATCATTTTCTTGCACTCATTAACTGTTGCAGCTCCTGATCCCTTAAGTTAGATTAACTCTAACCAAGATACAGTCCTGTGCAAGTCTTTGAAGAACTTCAGATTCTTATCCATCAGTCGCTATCATCAGAGAGGCATCTGATTGGTCCCAGGTTCACTCTAGAGCACGACAGCGACCCCAAACACACAGCCAGAGTCATAAAAATCTGTCTTCAGCAGCTAGAAGAGCAAGGAGTCCCTGCAACAGATGGTATGGCCCCCACTGAACCCTGATCTCAACATCGTGGAGTCAGTCTGGGATTATGTGGATTTAGGCTGTCATGATGAGACAGACCAAATCCACAGGAGAACTGTGGGCTGGTTCTCCAAGATGCTCAGAACAAACTACCTGCCTTTAAAACATCTGACACAAGTTCACCTAGAAGAACTGACGCTCGGCTTGCTTCCAAAACTACACAATAAAGACGGTTTCAAAACTACCTCAAACTGGACCAGCTTATGATAAGGAGCAAAAACCCAGTAACAGTAACATAACATCATCTTTTATAAGTGTTATCCTCTACATCCATGAAGTCACTTGATTCAGACTCACATTGCTGTTGAATGTCTTTCTGTGTCGGTGTGCTGCAGGCATGCATGCATATTTTTTAGTTACACATTGACTGAGCAGGGGGTGAGCACTGAAGCCATGCGTGCACCCAGGCTTTCTTGACCACAAAAACAGAGCAGGAGAGGTTGAAGTGGGGGTGTCGGGTGGGCGAAGCGCAACTTTTTTTTGGCTCACGTGCTTGGAAAATATTAGCAGAAGCATAAATCATATTTATCAAAATATTTATGGACCTCTGCACACAGACCCCTTCTTGTCTTTTGCATGTTTCAATAAAGCAGGGTCAGAACTAAAAGAACAACTGCGTACTGTTAAGTGCAGTATAAGGCTGCTTTATTCTGATAAAACAAAACAGATGCTTGGGGGAGTTTGTGCAGAGAATGGTCAAGAAAAAGCAGCAGAAAGAAAGAAAAAAAAAAACAGCATGTGTGTGTGTTTTTGTGGACTGTAGCAGCAGATTTTTATTATTTTTTTTCCTGTGACATGAGTGTTAATTTGCGAACTGCTCAAAGTGTGTGTTGGTCCATGTGCTGCCCGCTGAGTGTACAGTGTGTTATGTGTTTGTTGCATTGATGCTGTGGTGGACTGACCTCTTCCCAGATCCATCTCTGTGCAGCGGCGCTCTGGGTTGCTGTGGACTCTACACTTATATACAGCTCCAGGAGAGTGCACAGAGCTACTGTAGGAAGAGGTTGCCTTGGGTGCCCCAACTATTACCCTGCAGACATGAGGAGAGAGGAGAAGATGGGACAACACTTAACATATCTCTAATCTGTGACACTGATTTTTTTTTTAAAAAGGAGGCAAGGAGGAAATGATCAGCACAGAGAACTGGCTTTTCATGAGGAATATTACCAATACTTTAAGTTATTTGGGTGTGGATGCACTAGAGCTCAAGAGACATTTAAAGTTTCAAAAGTGCAAAAGCATTGCATCACAGACAGAAATTAACATCATTTCCAGGAACAGCACAACATGGGACTCACCAGCGTGTGTTGTCATGATAATGCTCCAGCACAGAGTAGCCAAAAAAACTAGAATTTGGTCCGCGGAACACCAAAGGATGTTCTAAGTCTAAATTGTAAGAATAAGCCACTGAAATGGAGAGACAGACATAAAAAACATTTTGTACTCCCGTTTTGTGTTTCCGCAGAGGAGCCATCCCTTTGCGCATCATGCGTAATAACGCAGTTTAAAGTGTCCAAAAAATAGGAAGAAAATAAGAAAAAAAAGAAACAATGAGAACGAACTGTCAGCTCTTCAGTGGAGAAAGTTTTTCAAACTATCTTTCAGGTCTTTTTTCCCTGCTATAACACAGCCTGTAGGTTGTGATGGCATGAGGAAAGGCTTGAGGAGGAAAGTTAACGGTCCGGTAAATAACGGTGCGTCAGCTTCTCTCCATTCTGTGTCAATCTGAGAAAGTTGCTGCTCGCAGGCTGCCTTGTCGTGGAGATAAATGCGGTCAGAAGTCAAGTTGACAAAAATCATATCCTGGAAAGAAAAGAAGCTTCCCTTAAAAATAAAAGCACAGCTTTTTGGTTGAGTTGCTCTTCCAACTGTGAGGGAAAGTCGGAGTTTTATTATGGAAGGAGAAAAGGGAACGTGTGTTTTTTTTTGTGGTGCGCAGACGGTGGTAACGCGGTCATGGGGAGACGCGAATGGTTTTGAGGCGCAAAGCATCACATTTCACCCGTGGGCTTCAGGGGGCTCAAGTCACCAAAAGTGAGAGATGGGGGCGCACTGCTGCCATCTAACGTTGTACAGACACAGTGAACACCAACAGCTGCGTTTTCATACTTCAGAAAATCTTATTTGCATTGATTTAAACTCATTGAAGAGCTGAGATTCTCAAATGGACTCAGAGATGCTTTTACTTTTAGGCAATAGTATGAGAACAGTTTCTGAAGGAATTCAAAGGGCAAAGAAAAAAGAAAGAAGGGTCAAAGATTGAAGAGTACTGAAGGAAAACATTCCAAATAACTTTTTTTTTTTTTTTTTTTGTAAATCACCTATTAATCTCAACTCCTAATGCCCCACTGGGTTTCAGTGTAATATAGACATTGTGCAACAGCATGTGCAAAAGATCATTCCACTGCATATAGAAATGTGTTATACACACTATATTTACAATGCACATCTTTTAAAATGTAAATAAACCACCTTTGTACAGAGTACCTTTGATTCCTACAGTTTTACAGAATTCTTTGCATTGAACTACCAGCACCTCAACTCAACTGACTGAGCTGTATGTAGTGTGTATATATATATATACATACATATATATGTGTGTGTGTGTGTGCATGTATGTATATAACTGCTTTGCTCTATGTTTGCTTAAGCAAGTCCCATCTACTCAATCACTCTGTTTTACTTAATAATTCATAATTAAGGATTTTGTGACATCACAAATGTCAAAAGCTAATCACTGGTCCAGTATACAACTTACATACATTTAGAGATTCCCCTCCTCCTTTTCTTTTTTCTTTTTTTTTTTTTTGAACTTTTCTTTGTTGGAGAAACCACATCAGATCAAACGTGATTTGAAAGCAGAGCATTTTCATATGACTTCCTATGTCTACAGCGGATTTCTGTCATGTTTATTTACACAGTAGTTGTTTAAAGTTCCTCTCTGGCCATTGATTAAATCCCTAAAAACTCATCTCTGTGGATCAGAGTTGGATATTTAGACATTTGCTTGATGAAAAATAATCCTTTGCCGCCTTAAAATGGCTTAGATCTAACTGTGCTGTTGTCTCCTTCAGAATGAGCCCATCTATGGAATCCCTGCATCTCTCTCCACCGCTCGTTGCAGCACAAGCACATCAGCTCACCTACAACTCTGCTCAAACACCGTAAAACTGCTCTGCGCTACACAATGACAAGCTGTAACTTTGGAGTAATTTAACAATATGTGGTAAAACCAGAACGGATTCTAAAAATAATGATACAGAAACCCCTGTCGAACTATTTATTTACAAAACCCTGGAAATCTGAATCAGTGTTTCTGAGATTGTCTATGCTGAACTGCAGTTTCAATGTGGAAATCCTCATCCCCATCACTCATGTCTGCTAGCATATGAAAAAATGAGAAAAACTGCTACTACTATTTTACAGACAAGTTAAGGAGGTAAAATAATAGAATTTTATAGTAGCAGCTGGGTCTTTAATTACACAGTATGTGTGTTTGCATCCACATGTAAATTTAAATGCACTGACAAGGAGAATAAATTCATTGTACGTGTCCTCATACTTAATGAGAATCAATAAACTCTCCTGTCTTTGCCCTATTAAATTCATGTGCATTCCTTCTTTTAAAAAAAAAACATTTTTGTTGTGGAGGAAAGAAAAGGTTAAACAAAGGTGACCCTTGTTAAGTATGTGACCCTTATCCAACAAGATCTTTAAAACCCAGATATGTCGTGATGTCTGCATGCCATGTGTGTTATTCAACAGGAGCTTATCACACCTCGTCCCCAGTTAGACACCCTGAACAATGTAAAAGCAGGTAACGAGATAAGCTATTGCATGTAACACATACAACATCGTATGACAATAAGCATAAAGAAGTGACAAAAGGTGTTTCTGTAAATAAGATTTAATTTGTTAGTTTGAAAATGTGTAGCAAGTCATATAGTGCCTTATAATACAGTTTTAATTATCATAATACAATTTACAGTTTTGTGGGTTTTTTTTTTTGTCAGTGTTGGTGTGAAAATATAAAGCATAGAAAAGCTTGTGTTAAACAAACAAGGTCCAGAGGCCAGTATCTTAATGTGGTGCGGGTGCACAGTTAAAGGGTCGTCTACAGTTTTACAGAGGAAGCGATTCAGACAACAGCACAACACAGAAACCTATAAATCAACTGACCGTCAGCGTCAATATGTGATAATGATATCATTTATTGCACAAGCCAACCTGTATAAACACATTCTAAAATAAAAGGAAAACTCATTTGTCTTCATCTAAAACATATAAATTAACAAACTTAATCTCAAAGTAAAACTGGATTTATGGAAGATTGGTGTTTCTTTCAAATTCCCTCATACCTTTAGAAGTACTCACACATACCACGTCACGCACACAATTATGCCCAAGATTGTGCTCACACACACACACACACACACACACACCCACACGCATACGCACACATAAAATGACAAGAAATGCAGAGAGAAGGGCTTGATAAAATCCATGGCAGTCTTCCCCTTCAGCAGCAGTAGCAGCAGCAGATTATCATCCAGGCGTGACCGAATCAGTCAAACTCTCATCGTAACCAAGGCTGTGGAGGGACGGATATGAAATTAATTAAAATATGGATAGAGGTACAAATGCAGTATTCATTTTTCAGCTGCTTGGAAGTGTTAAATGAGCTCCTCAAAGTATCCGCAGGAGGTAAACAGATGCTTACGATTGGTTTGGAGTCTTCTTTGTCCAAAACCTTTTGCGCTTGGTCAGGAGGAAACTTGAGCATGGAGGTAATCACTTTGGCCATCGTCTGCAGATGAAGAGGGAAAAAGAAAAAGCGGTTCAAAAGGAGGGCCCAAAACTTCCCCTTGCTGTTCAGCGTCATTAAACATTTCCTCTAACAGCATGTTTACTAATTTTCAATATGCCTTTTACAAGTGCCAGATATCCCAACCTTTGACACCATCATACAATCAAATTAAGCTTGTTCTGAGATAATTAAAGCCCAACTAGAACACAAAAAACAAAACAAAATCATCTGCATAATTAACTCCAGCCCTATCTGCCAGGGAGCATGTATCCCCCCATAAACACGGGGTATAATCAGAAACAGGGCTGCTGTGTAGGAAACCTAACCGCTCAACTAACGCTAAACAAGGCCAGCATGTCTTTAAATGGCAAATCGGCGTCATGCAAGATGTATGTGCTCGCAGGCAGCCTGGAGGACATCCTCCACACAGGGGAGGTCTGCCATGTTTGCCATAAAGGCTAACTGTTTGCCGAGGAGCTGGGAAAGTCCCGCTGACTTAAGACCATGTCAACAGCTCTGTTAATTAGAGAGATCACCGTTAATTACAGCAAACGAGACTGGACACAACATGACGTTTATATGGCGTCCTAAACGGTCTCATATTATGTGTCGCAGACGGAGGTCAGCTCCCACACAATGGGAAGGACAGACTCCAATATCATTAGCTACTTTTTCAATTTGGTGGTTTGAAATTGTTTGGTTTAAACTTATTGGCATTATTCCCATGTATTTACGTAAAAACAACCTATCAGATGGTTATTTATAGACCATGCTGCTGTTTCCACAGTCAACCAAACATTCATCAAGATAAATGCAACTAAAAAAAAACAACCTACAAAACTCACAAACACCACATGATGTTTGTTGTGCATAATAGTGTTAGAAAAAAAAAGCATACTTTTGTTTCCCGTCCCATCATGTATTCAAACAGCACCTTCCTCAGGTATTCCATCTCAGCGGGTTCAGAGAGTGCATCAGAGGGGTTGAACCCAGGATCTGGAACATGCAAAAACAACCGTAATCAAACAATATTTCAAGAAGAATATGACTGTTTTTAATTGTCAAATTTCCCTTTTAGGTCTTATTCCTGTGAGAAATGTGGATACTTTAAATGAATCAAAGTTTTCCTATGTGAATACATCCTGACTGCTCTCTCTGGTAAAATAAATTCTGTATCTCTAGAGACTTCCTGTTTAAATACAGCAAACAAATAAAAACTGTGACAAGATCTAAATAAGAGTACACTTCCTAGAGCATTGCAAATTTGGTTTGTGTATGCAGGGTGTTGATTGTATATCTCTAGTCTTAAAGTACAACGACTGTCAAACATTCCAGCTGGCAAACAAATGCAGAAAACAACCCACAGCATCATGTTTGTGTTAAATACAGAACCTGCACAGGTTCACATTAAGCACCAACTACTGTAAAAGTACAGGAAAGAACAGCCAGGCACAGCATGAGCACTTTAATGCTGCAAGAGTCGAAGAATGAACATTTTATTTCTCTGCCCAAAGCTATAACGCCATTATGCCTCTAAAATCTGAATGAGAAAGACTGTATTACCACTTGGACGGGGCTGGCAACACTTAGCTACAGCTTCTACCTCATCAGGTCTATTAATATAAAACAACATCCACTTGGTTCATCATTAAGATGTCACCAAACGTTGCTGCATGTGCTAAGAGACACCGTGTGACTGAAGCAGAGGAAATGTTGACAGAGAAGCGCAAACAACTCTTTGATCTCTGGCGTGGGGTGATGGGTTACTAATAAATGTCGTAGCCTTTGTCCTTCTGACCTCGTGCTGCCCCAGCTGAGCCTCTCATCCTACCAGTCACACAGAGACAGACATGAAACAGCCTTCTGATCAGCCTTTGACCTAACGCCACAGCTCAAGGCGGTTTAAGACACTTCAACAGAATCACTGTTAAGTGGGAGATGGCTTCACTAAAAAGTACTGCAGTCATAGGAAAATACAGGACACAGTAGGTTGGGATATAGTGTGTGAACTGGATATGGAGGATTCAACAAGTCTGTGTGCTGCAGGGTCCTGCGTAGGAAAGACCACAATCTGCAAAACCCATTAAATCTGAGGACGGCTTTTCTGCCGCCCCCCTTCTGACAGCAGATTCTCTTTATTACTCCAGCAGAGAAGGTCTGAGAGGACAGAAGAACTCACTGAGTCTCTCTAAATGCTGTCACACAGACACACCACGTCGGGGTTATGATACACTTAAGGATACTGCGTTGACTTACAGTCGATCCCTAGAGGTTGACCCCAACCTTAACCGCAACGGTTATGTGTATGCCCCCAAACCCCAAGTCAAACCTTAACCGAACCCTAATTATAACCGCTGCTCTTATCTTAACCAGCGAGCCTACAATCATGCTTAGTTGGTCACAATGTACACAAAAATACAGCTAAACCAGATGACACACACCCTCACACGCTACTCAGATCTGCAGCTCTAGTCAAAGCTCTGATCCATGAAGCGATGCGTGCACTGGAACATTGGCCAAATTACTGGTGGCGTCTCAAAATACCAGCTCTGAGATCATACAGAGCAACTCATCTATCACTAGAACTTTTTTAATTAATAATTCATTTGACAACAAAAATGTCAGGCGATGCATCTTATACTGACAGTGTATGAAGTTGGGTTGTAACTAGCAATTATTTAATTGATAATTCAACTGTTGGTTATTTTCTCAATAATCAATAATCATTCTAAAGATGCCATAACCTGAAGATACTTAGTTTACTCTCATAGAGGAGTAAAGAAAAGATAAAATATGAAAATTCAAGAAGGTGGAATTACAGAATTTTGATTGATTTTCTTAAAAACTACTGAAATTGATTAAGCAGTGATCAAAATATTTAAGCAATCAATTAATCATTGTAACGCTGGCATGTAGCGTATGTTACACACTTTCCCATGACAATGTACTGCGGTCAAGCATGTCATCTTTATTGTGCTTATATAAAAGGAAATTGGATCAAGAAGCAGAACTAAATGGTTCACGGTGTTAACATTACCTCTGAATGTGCTTCCGAGGTGAGTTACGACAGTGCTTCGGTGGAAACATTTAATCTTGTCCTCAAGCGAGTGAATCTAGCGTGGAGAAACACACAAGCATGCACAGATTATTTAAAGGAAAAAAAAAAAAAAAAACTCTTCGACCCCAGTGGGTTAATTCTATGTTTTAGCCTAATTGCTGAATGCCACATAAGCATTTTGTTGGTCATCCTTAGGGGATGTTTGTGAGACCGACGATGTGTGTGAGAAAACTGTGGGAGGCGCTGCAGTGATTGTTTATAGGGTTAAACCAAATGTAAACAGATGTGCTGTGTAATTAAGTCGATGTAGCAGGAGAGCAGTAGCTGCTCTTGCTGGGGGCCACAGAATCCTGGGAATACGCCACCATGGATTTGCTGTTCAGTCATGCCCCCAAAGAGCACACACGGGGTCCGACACTCACTTTCTCGACAAACTCCTGCTCCTTCAGCCGGGCCTCACTCAATAAAGTCGTCTTCTCAGCAAGCTGAGCCTGAGGTAGAGCAGACGCATAATGAATGTCTTGAGGTAATGAACCGGATGTGATAATATTATGTGATGCAAGTTTTAGCTTTGATAAAACAATTGTTACACGATGCTAATTTAATAAAACAATAAGAAACAGCGAAACCAGTGGTGGAACCAACAAACATACCTGTAGATCTTCTGGGGTCATTGGTGTCTAAAAAAATGAATAAAGTAGAAGAGAGAGGACATCATTTATTAGAACAAATCACAAAAGTTGTGCATGATAAAGTGTGTGTAGAATAAGAGTTCAACACATTTGACACTATAAATAACTGAATAAGCTACTTATTTAACTTTAGGATCGATTCTTAACTCGTGTGATAAAGAGATCAAAACCAGGAACTGGAATTAATAGAAAAAAATTAATAAATCAATGGACTTTCAACTAATCATGTGTGGCATGCACTTCTGTTGGAAAAATAACTAAGTCTAACCTTAACATTGTGATATTTAATCAAAAACTTTATTCTAAATGTCTCATGTTGGCTAAAAACAAACAAATTACGCTAACCAATTCTGTCCAAAACAAAAAACATTTTACTTCTCAGCACTAAGTAGAAGCCATTAATGACTCAACTACCACCAACAGTTCCTTGACAAAAACTCCAGAACTATTTGGCTGAACTGGGATGAACTGCAGGCTGTGCTTAGACAGAGCAGACATAAAAATGTAAAATATTTATAGTGAAGAGAGTTATTATTTTTCCAGTATTGGTAACACCTATGGGCACCTGGAAAAATGTTGCACACATTGACTCCAGGATTTTCCAATTTTTGGAAAACAAATATTCAAAAGAAAGAAGTAACCCACAAAAGTTAGTTATTTCTATGTTTAATCACATTATAACTTTGTTATACTGCACAAAAGACATCACTGATTTCTCTACTTCCAGTCATGGTTGTGTAGTTTCCATCGAAGTGCAGGATTTTATATTGCAGTGAAAAATGAGCCCATTGAATGAAAATGTAACAGGAGCAAAAAAAAAAACACCCAGAAACTGCCTAGAGTTCAGAGGTGTACTAATAAATTCAGTGTTGCCTCATGTAGCTTACTCTTCTATACCAAAAAGCTCCATTGTTTTCTAAAAACTGTTAAAAACACACTTCTGCACTAGCAGACATCACTGAGGGACCAAACATCTTTCAGTCTGCTGCTAAAAATAGCTCCAAACCAATAGGAAATTTATCCCTGTTTGACTAACATTTTTCTAAAACTGCAGTTTCCAGCTGCTACAGGAAATTATCTAGCACTTCTAAAAAATGAAAGTCTATGTTTATGACCCATTTTAAACACTTATTTGTTCACTCGGAATGAATGGGCTAAAGCCACAGACAAGAAGTCAGACAGTATTGAGAGATGGACTAACACATGGTTGGCCTTCTTAAGGGATTTTTTGACAATAACAAAATCTAAAATATCATTTGCCTTATCCCCTAATCATACGGTGCAATTAAAAGACTGTTTAGGTCCACTTTCGCCTGGAAAACAGTGCTGGTCTGTCTCTGTGGAGACACACACTGACACACTGTCTGTCTGAAGAATGGTTTGTGAGGCCCGTAGTAAGGAAATGCCTCCCAGAGCATACAGCCATACAATCCACCCATAAAGTTATTACCTCACCTGGGAAAAATGCAGCACAGAGAGCAGCATAATTCTTTGTGTTTGTGTCCATACAGATGTGCGTAAATGTAGAATCACCGCAGGGGTCTCATGGCACCTCAACACCTGGGCAAAAACCTCTCCCCGGAGTACTTTTGTCCTATCTGGCCTCGTTCTAATACGCATGTCTTGCCTATGAGTATTGCTGAAGTATAAATCTAAGGCCAAGAGTCACCTCAGATGATGATAATTGAGAACAGGGATTGAGGCTGGCTGCTGCCTCGCAATCTCTGTTTTCTGAGGGGGAACATTCCTGAGTGATTCAAATGAGCTTCACAGCATCCGGCAAGCTTTGGAAAGCCGCCACACGACTGGAACGAGAGACTGATCAGAGCAAAGTATGTAAGCAAATTGTCCCTGAGCTCTTAAACGGAATCCTTCAATTATAAAGCAACGCAAAGAAAAAGACGGCCGATAACTGCTAAGTCTGTTAACCTGGATGTGAACTCTCAAATGGGGGCATCTGAAAAGGTTAGTACGGACGCACAAAAAAACCCAATCTGGATTAGGCTGTCATTCAAAACTAGTAATGCTTCCATCAGACTCCAGCTTTTTCCCTGAAGGGAACTGAAAAAGAGTGATTTCATACTGCCATTGTTATTTCTTTCAGCCAGTGTGAAGTGACTTATGACTTCAACAGAATCACTATATAAATTTAACCTAAACCCCCTCCGTCTCATAAACTGGACTGTAATAGCTGCAGGCACGAATTTATACATCTGCGTAAATGTAAAAATCTTCGAAATAAATCTACCAGTTTTGACAGCAATCACAGACGTCTGATGACCTGGTGATTAAGTGACAGTGGTTTAGAAGTGTTTGTACCTCAGAAGTACTTTGGCTCCTTGTTTGCAACTCCTCCAGTTGTTTCTGAATCTGCCAGACTCTGTCTCCCATCTCCTCCTCTCGACTCTGAAATAGAAAAAATACATATATAACAATGACTGAGTCATTCCCTATGCATCATCTCAGCATCATAACTCAAGTATGTCGGTCAAATCACACAGTCACTGCTTTATTTCAGGCATCTGTCCCTTATTATAAAGTAACTATGTTTAGAGACAACTTTATGTTAAAGTCTTTAAAAGAAATAAACCGTTTATCAGAGTCACAAATTGAAAAAGAAAAAAAGAATTCAGGGATTTTAGACTTTTCAACAATCCTCGAACTTCATATCTATGAGGTTTTATTCGGTCTAAAATCTTAACTAAATCTCAGCCTTACAACATGATATTTTAACAAAACATTTTTTCCCTACATGTCTTAGTTCAAATTTGCCTGAATAACCCATTTACACTTATCAGATGCTACAATTCTACAGTTTCATTTAGCTTTTATCCAAAGTGATGTACATCTGAGAGCAGATACAACACAAGCAAGGATCTAGTCAGGAGAAAACAATCTAGGTAAGTGCCATAGAACAAAGAACAATGCTGTAATAAACAAAAAGTGCTGTGCTCCTTGGTGCAACCGTGAGGCCATTAGGGACCCAGCTGCAACCAACAGTCACATAGAAAAAAGTTTACTTTTTGACTGAAATGCAGGTAATAAAATATCTCTAGAATGTAGAATCACCATTTTGTTTTCTAGTGTTGCTAGTTGGGAGGTTAGGGTAGTTGGGAATTTTTTTGTAAAAATAATCAAAGAAATGTATCCCTCATTTTCACTCAACTATGTACTGCACACAAGGCATGTTTGAGTTCTCTTCTATTAGCCATGGTTGTGCCGTTTCCATACAGGTGCAGGATGTTATGTTGCGGTAAAAAATGAAGCCGCAGTGAGTAAAAGTTTGAAAGTAGCAGGAAACGCCCAGAAACTGCTTGAGGTTTAGAGAGTTGAAAATTCAGCTGCATGAAAAGATGACATCCACTACTGTATCTGCCTTTGCATCATTAATAGTTGTCTACAAAGGGTACTTGAGTTCATCTGCTTTAAACTAAGGGAAGGCAGCTGCCAACTAGTGAGTAAGTGCTATGAAGGGTGGGGTTTATCTCATTTCCTCAGAAAACTGACAAAGTTTGGTCTTACTTTCAAAAACATACATATTTAAAGATCATGCTTTTATAGTACCTGTATAACTTGTTCATATTTCTGAACAGTTCTGTGCAAATCATCCTCTTTCTCAGAAATGGCCTTCTTCAGCTGACTGGCTTCTTCATGATGGCAGCTGATGAGCTCTGCTTCAACACACTGGGCCTTCGCTGTGTCGACAAAACAGAGAGAAGCCAAAGTTGGTGCTTTGAAAAGAAAAAAGACAAACCAAATCCATATTCCGAACCGCTCATCCCATTTTAATGGCACAGCATTTAAACAGGGAGGAAGTAAAAAAAAAAAGAAAAAAGTATGGCAATTCAGACACACTGTTTCCAATTGCAATAATCCCTTAATTTTGTTCCACTCACCGTCAGGATTAAAAAAATACGTGATGTTTCCATGTGGTTGATCATATTTAGTTTGATTTCAAGGCAGTTATTTTAATGCCTAAAAACCTAAGCAGGGTGTGGTGTACTGAAAGGACTTGAGATAACTATTACAACTGCTCAGAAATCTTGTCAGTGTAATTTTACTGATTCTTTTCTTTCGCCTCACCAATGGTCTCCTTCACTGCTGTGTCAAGCTCCTTCTCTTTCAGAGCCATTTGCGTGTTGACCTCCCGCATTAGCTGCTTAATCGCAGAGTTGTGCTTCATTTCTACGTCTTCTAACTCCAGTCTGTGAGAATGGAAAGCAGAGGAAATGTATTAAATTGACTTGAAATGTTTTATTATAACTACTTTAGCATTACCTGTGGCATTATTAACTCACTTCAGCTTTTTCTCACTCTCCTCTAACAACTCTTTCTTCAAGTATTCGAGGTCGTGTTCGTGCTCCTTCCTCAGCAGTCGCATGTCTTTCTGTAGCCTGGTGAAGTCCTTTTGGATTTTCTCTTTCTCGTTCTTCATCTGACTCAGTTTGTTCTTGAGAGACTGCAAAGCATCCTCGTCTCCTTCCTGCATGGGGGCGTGGTTTTCCATCTCGTTTTCCATCACACTCATGGTTTGCTGCATGCGGCTACTTTCCACCTTCATCTCAGCTTCAGGTTCTGATGGATTTTGGACCCGCTGGGCATCCTTCTCAAGTATTTGTTCTTTCAGACGATTTATTTCTGCAACAAGGTTTCCATTCTGCTCCTCTGCTTCTTTTAGTTTTGCCTCGATTTCGTGTAGTGCCGATTCAGCTTCTCTGCTCTCCCCTTGTCGTGCCATCTCTCTCTGAAGTGTGAGCAGCTTGTCCTCATACGCGGTTTTCAGTTCCTCTACAGTCCTTTCTTTCTCAAGCCTCTCATTACTTAGAACCTGTTCAAGTTGTTTCTCCTGCTCCTCCTTAAGCCTGACAAGAGCCTCCTCGAGCGTTTTTGCTTTTTCTTCTAATGTTTCTATGTGTTTTTGGCCAGAAGTTTCATTGCTCTTGATTCCCTCCAGGCTAGCCTCAAGAGTCTTTATCAACTGCTCTTTTTCCTCGAGCTGTGATGTTAGCTGTTTTTTAATCTGACTGATTTTCTGCTCAGCTTTCTTCTTCAGCTCCGATACTTTCTTAGCACGCTCTGCAGACAACCTCTCTTCAGTCGCCTTCAGATTCTCCTCCTTGCTCTTGATGATCTCGTCTTTCAGTTTTTCAAATTCCTCCCTTTGACTTTCAAGCTTTTGTCTACACCTCTGGTTGTCTTCCTCCAGGGAGTGTAGTTTTTGCACCATCTCCTGCTCCACATTACCGTTCTGCATCTGGGTCTGCTGCAGCTGCTCCACCAACTCCCTCTTCTCAGTCTCCCTGATGCTGTGCTGCTGTTTGAGGTCAGATGTGAGCTGTTCACACTCTTTAGTCTTTAAGGCTAACTGCTCCTGAAGCTCACCAAGTCGACTGATGCAACTCTCAAGCTCCAAGGTAAGTCCACTGACTTTCTGCTCCTTCTCACTCAACACCTGGTCCATCTCAGACTTGCTGATGGACTGATTGTCAATACTTGCCGTCAGCCTTTGCAGGGCTTCGTTCTTCTCAGAGATTTCTTGCTCCAGCTCTCCAAGCCTGGTCTGTAGAGATGAAACAGTGTTGTCATTCTGTTTGAACCTCGTCTCTGCCTTGTTCTCGTACTCGGACAGGCTGTTCCTGAGTGCATCTGCCTGCTCTAAAGCAGACTTTCTCTCCTGCTCCAATCTCTTAATGTTCTCCTCCATTTGAGCAGCAGCCCGTTGTCTCTCCTCCTCATACTGCTGGGTCAGCTGATTTATGGCTTCCTCCTTCTCTTTTATGCTACTTGCTAGCTGATTTTTCAAGTCACTGACGATGCTTTCCAAGTTTGTGATATGCAGCTTGTTTGTTTTCATACTTTCTGATATGATTCTGTTCGCTTCGCTCAGTTCCTCAATTTTCTGAACTTGTTCACTGACAGACTGAGAATGATTCTCCTTCTCGTGTGTTAAGGCATTGATATGCTCCATATGAGCATTTACCTGAGCAGTCATCTGTTCTAATGAAATGCATAGATTCTTATTCTCCTCCGTCTGCTGGTGGAGATTCTCCTCTAAAGTGCAAATTCTACCTACTTTAGTAAGGACAAGGTTTTTTAGATGCTCCATCTTTTTCTGACTACAGAGGAGTCTGTTGTTCAGCTCTTTCACCCTGCAGTCCACTCTTTGTTGGAGTTCATTAGATCCAAACTCCACTTTAGACTGAACCTCCTTACAGTAATGGTCCATTTGGTTGCTGATCAGAATTAACTGCTGCTGGAACTCCGCTTCCTTGGCTTGCAGCTGATTGGAAGTTTCCTTAAATTTACTTTGCAAGTCCTCACTTTCCTTACATCTGGAGCCTTCCAGCGCTTCGAGCTGTTTCTCCGTTTCATTCAACTTGTCCGACAAAGTCTTTAGCTTCTCTCTGCTCTCTTCCTGTGTTGTGTTAAGCGTGTCTTGGAGACTGTTTCTCTCATTCAGAGCCTGGTTAAGGTTCCTCTCCACTGACTCCATTTGTTCTTTTAACAATACTTCACCCTGAGACGAACTTTCAAGCTTTACTGCTGCTTCATTAAGCTCTTCCTGCAGCTTCTGCACAGTGGTTTCTCGAATCGCCAGGTCCTCCTTTAAATTCTTTATTTCACACAACACTTGCTCGTTCTCTGTTCTGCTTCTGCTAAGCTGCTGAGCTATTTCCTCCAGTTCCTGACCCTTCTCCTGTAGTAGGAGTGAATGTTTCTCCATCAACTCTTCTTCCTGCTGTCCCAACTTCTCCTGCCAATGATGCTCCATTTTTTCAATCTCATGTTTGTGGGTACCGTGTAGTTTCTCCAGTTCTTCCTTATGGTTGGCCTGCAGCTCTGACACTGTGCTGCTGAGGCCTTGGGAACTCTTCTGGGCCATCTCCACAATTTTCTCCTGAACTTGCTGTTCTTTCTGTTGCAGTTCAGTGTCCTTTTTTGCAAGCTCCTTCTTCATGTTTTCTTCATTCTGCTGTAGCTTTTTCTTAAAATTCTCTTGCATGTCTTTGGCTTTTTGTTTGAATTTTTCCATTTTTGTCTCCTGTGATTTTAGCTTTGACTCCATCTCAGTTATAGTGTTCTTCAGTTTCTTCTCGTGGGCAGCTTTTTCATCATCCAGCTGTTTTTTGAGGCGTGTTTCTTCTCCCAGTTTAGTGTTTAGTTCTGCAGTTAATGACTTCTCCTTCTCTGCAAGCTCCTTTTTGGTCTCTTGTAATTGATGCTCCATTTCTTGAAGCGACTTTTCTTTTTGTTGACAATCATTCTTTGCTGTTTCCAACTGATGTTCCACATCTGTCAAATTTTTCTTACACTGATCAAGATCTTCTGAGATCTTGCTCAACTCTGTGTTAGTTTCTTTTAGGCTCCCAATTTCCAGCTGGGATTGTGATAAACTCTGCTGGAGCTGCTCCAGTTCCTTAACCTTGACTTTTAAGTCTTGTGCAGTGGAATGTGAATCCCCTTGTAGTGTTTTTTCTTTAAGGATGTGTTGTTCAATTTCCTTTTGCTTTTCCTTCAGAACAATTTTCACTGCATTAAGTTCCTCCTTTAGAGTTTTCTCGACACCCCCAAGTGACTGCGCATGCTCTTGTTTGATATTTGCAAGCTTTGCTTTGTGCTTTGACGCCAGATCTTGAAACCTCTTTTCATGTTCCCGTTGAGCTAACCTACGAGCCTCTTCAGCTGCCACCAGCTTTTGTTCCAGAAGCTGTTTACTCTTTAACATCTCTGAAAGTTCAGAAGAAAGTGCCTCAAACTCTGCCTGCTTTGCATCCAGTTTCTCTAAAGTTTTCTGGTTCATGTCTTCAACATGTGCTTGAAACTGCAGCTCTTTCTCTTTCAGATGGGTCTCCATTTCGGCTCTGTGTTTTTCCTTGAGTTCCTCAAGAGCAGCGTTATGCTGCTGGATTAGGGTACCCTTGTGCTTTTCCAGCTGCTCCTGGTGCTTTTCCTCTAATGCAGAGATTTGCTCTTTGTGTTTATTCTTCAGCTCGTCCAGCTGACTGGAAAGTTCATCGGAGAGACTTGATTCATCTTGTGAGATCTTGCCCACGGAGCTCTCCAGCTCCAATATCCTCTGCAATCACATAACATGCAGGTGCTTAGATTATTCAATGAAATTGCTACTGTTAATAGTTTTACTGAACTCTGGCACAGCTACAAAAATATTTTGTTGATAATTAAAATATTTTCCTAGCAGTGGGCTTGTACAGAAACAGTGCAGTTATCAGCAAATACTGAAAGCTTGAATGGCATGAGGGATTGGATGTGCTGAAAAAAAAAACTGAGGACAATATCCCAAAACTTATGTGAAATTACTTTAAAAACACAATTTGACAATGTATTCATCATTCTCTACGTGTGTGCATATGCATGTTTCTGTAGAGCCTAAGAACTTGCCAAAGAAATAAATAAATTCACATATAATAGAATACACGTTATTTTTGTTTATCAGTTATTATGGAAATAAGCACTGAAACTCAAAGCATCCAATCAGTAATTAACAGGTCTAATATGATCCAAGTAACTACATTGTTCAAAAATTATTTGTACACTCACAGTTTTTGTAGTTTCCAGCTCCAGCTGTATCTCTTTAACCTTGTTATCAGCTTCTACCCTTACAGCTGTCTTCTGTAACTCTGCGTCCTCCAGAGCCAGAGAGGCCTGTTGTTCTCGCTCCACAGCTAGCTGCTCAAACTCCTGTTTGCATTGCTCCTAAGCAGCACAACAATTAAAAAAAAATAACACATTCAGAAGTAATTTTATAAAATCTGATTAACTTGATCATGCTACAAAATTAAATGAAGGAAAACATTCATGGCCTACCACAGCTTTGTTGACTCTCTCATTTATCTCTTCTTCTTTAGCAGCCAAAGCTTCACTATGGCGCTTTTCAAGTTGGGCCACCGTTTCCTCAGATGATTTCTAATTGTATCAATAAAAAGTGTTTTTTTTTAAATATATAAAATACATAGTAAGTATCAACACAGTTCATCAAAAGTACACAAAATAATTTTTGCTTGTTCTGTCTTCTAATACAGCAGTGGAACAGATTAAACAACAATAGTGTTAACAGATTGCCGTTTCCTTTTTTTTTTTCTGTGAATAAGTAAACTGTTATGATCAAAGACACACAACTAAACCTTTGGGTAAGGCCAGCAACATTAAAGCACAAAGGACTTCTTCACAGCAACATTAAATGTCTGAATGTCTTGCAGAAGTCACACGCTGACCTTCATGATGGTGACCACCTCCTGTTTGACTCGTGTGAGCTCCTGCTGCAGACTCTTCCTCTCCTCCTCACCGGCCCTTTCAACTTCTTTAACTTGCTCCTCCAGCTGAACCTGCAGCTGTTTTTTGGCCTCCTCTGCCTTCTGAGCGACACCCAGAGCCCGTTCAAGTTCTTCAAAAGCTTTGGGGCCATGAGAACACAAAACACATCATTAACCTATCCAGAGAAGACTTTTTATTCTGCACACTTTCAGATGTAGATTGCACTCACCTGATTTCTCAGCCTTCTCTTTCTGTTCCTGTAATTCTTCTTTTTGAGCAGTAGCCTGTTGAAGCCTGGAGCGCAGCTGTGCAATCTCCTCTTCTTTCATTTCTAGTGTCTCGTGCATCTGGCGCTTGGTCTCAGCAATGACCATTCCCTGAAAAACAGGAACCCATAAAAGAAAATCAGCCTTTTAACTGTACAGTCTAAGCACATGAACGGACACTGAGGCCGACATTGGTTTGATAGCTTGCATGTCTTTATTTTACACCCCAACTCAAGCCCTGTGCCAACAACTGTTTTTGACTTTAAGTGTTTTCAGCATTCCTCACAGACATCTTCTGAGCTGCTGTCCGTCCTGCAGAGTTGGGGTCAAAGATTAAGAGAAACAATATGGGACTTCAAGGTGTCTGACTTCTTTATTCAATGGCAGAGTGAAAAAAACAACTGAATCTGCTGAACCTTGAAATCAAGATGTGACTAAAGCCTTAAAAAACAAACAAACAAACAAACAAACAAACAAACAAACAAAAACTCACCTTGTCCTGCTCCAGCTGTTCAATGAGGTTCTTGGCATCACGCAGCTGAGTGATCAACTTCGTTTTTTCCACTGTGTGCAGTTCCTTTAAGCATAAAACATGAGAGAGTTACGAATGAAGATGTCAAATATGTCCAACTGAGATAAATCCCCCTTTACACTGGATCCCTTCTGATTTTCTGACTCATATCCTGTATGTATGTATATATATATATATATATATAAAAATGCTTTGTTCAGATAACTTCAATATGAGATGTTTTCTGCACCACCCAGGATGCCTCACCCACAAGCCTTACAACTAAGGAGTGTACACAAGGCCAGCTAAACCAACAAGTCGACCTAAATTATAGCCCAGATTCGCAGAAGCGGCATGTAGGAGTGACATCTCTATACCACCACAGTTTAACCAGAGGTTGCTAAACAGGAAATGCTGGGCTTTCTAAGTTTCTCAGTTGTTTGATCCATGTGTACCAAAGCTAAAGAAGCAGTGTTATGATGAACAGCATCTTGATATTCAAAAAGTCATGTAACAAATTTGAAAAATGTTTCATTTAACTATAAATATTTAAAAGCACAAAAACAGCACGTGATAGTCTGTCGACCGAACTGTAAACAGTAAATTCAAAAATCCTTGAAGTGAAGGTCTGGAATCGTACACAGATGGTCTGTTTTATGGGATATTTGTCAGAGGCAGGGCAGGGGATGAACACAGCCCGGCAGTTCCAGGATGCCGTCATGCTGCTTAAGAGGGCTGAACGCCTGTTAACCCCTGCTTTTCCTGACACAGCCCTATTCCCAAACAGATTCCGGATTTATCCGAAAAAATTGTATCAATAAATGAAAACGAGTCAATCAACATACAGTCACAGAGAAGTTGTCTATTATTACAGTGTCTTCGTAACAAACATTTGCTATCATGTGCGGCAACACATCAGAGCGGCTATGGACAAGCTGCACAAGCCGATCATACCACTGAAGCAAAATGTTTTGAAATCAGTGAAAAACAATGGTTCAGTCATGTCACCCTGACATGACATGAACCCTCACTCTGGAGCTTAGCCAGAGAATTTGGATGTTCGGACTGTGAGAACCACAGCAATCCGCTGTCACAGAGATAATGGAGGCACATAATCAGTGAACCATAAAGACTCTGGCAGACATTTTGCATCACACATTAATTACCCTAAACACACTGCTGAGTAATTTGCATCTCAGCCCAGTTCCATTTTAATCAATCCTCTTCATAATTATAGCCTACTGCCACATCAATTTATAGTACGAGTCTGTCTCAGGGAAATCATTTTGAAATATCTTTTGAAAACAGATTACTGATAGAGTAATAAACTACATAAGCATATTTTGTCTAAAATTTATCGACAAGTTGATGGAAAAATGTCCCTGCAATACAGGATGATCATAGATTCACTCTAGTATCAATGCCATTAAATACGTGTTGGCCACCTTCATCTTTTCCAGCTCCTGTAGTCTCTCCTGCAGCTGCTCCTGCAGAGTTTCATTCTCGCTGCCCAGCTGTGCACTCCGCTCCTTGTGTGTACGCATCACGTCTTTGCACTTCTGCAACAGGTTTTCTTGCCTCTTCACTCTCTTCTGCAGGGCCTCCAAAAGTTTGGTTGGATCACTGTTGCCCTCTCCTGTCCAGACAATATAATTCACTGTTTAAAGGGTATCAATGTACCTCCCAAAACAGCAAAGACATACAGTTCACACACAGCATGTTCACGTGGACTTACCACTTGCAAATATATAAATAAATATAAAGGTAGATACATAAAGTATGCTTACCCTCAGTGACTTCAGGCTCTAGCTCCTGCTCCTTCGAAGGACTCTGTGTGGTAGAAGTAGAGTCTTCAGCGACATCAGGCTGAGGGACCTCACCTTCGGGTGGCAGCGATCCATCAGACACGGCCTTAACTCGTTTCTTCAACAGAGCAACCTTACAGAAGAAAAAACAAAACAAAGACAAGAGTTCCATAAATAAATATCTTTTACTACTTTAGCTAACAGATTTGTTTTCCACATTAGGCATTTTTCCCTGCATGCTTATCTTTGTACATGTATAGTAAGGCTTCTTTTGTTTGTTTTTATGTAATCATATAGATTCATTATTGCAGTCAAATTGTAATACAGGCTTTGAAAATGGAATCTGTATAAAAATATACAGTATGCATTAACCTTTTCAGTTACCTGACTGACAAATACATTTTTGTTTTAGTTTTTGCTGTTTTTACCCTCTGGACCGCCACCTTTTTTCTAAATTTGTTTTGGGAAAATACAGAGATTGTTGTATATTTAAACACAGCTCTGGACTGAATTTCACAGCAGTAGAAACAGACCTGCTTTGTCTCACAAAGTGTGGGTTAAAAACCTCTGCACATTTGTTTTCTGGTATAACTGTGTTTGATTAAAGCCAATTTCATTTAAAGTACATGAGCAATGTTTATGAGTGCATTACCACAGTGAGTATCACATTCCAGTTTAAAAAACAACAACAAAACAATGATTATGAAGAGTGCAGGTTTTAAAGTCAAATTTTAATGTTTTTTCAGGAAAGTACAAGTAGACACTACATTTTTGCACAACATGAGGTCATACTTAGTAAGATTGTAAATCCTGAAAACTATTGTTGAAGTTTTTACCCCACCCAGCCAACATTTCTTTATGCTGCCACCCACACACCAGCACACTCACCTGTGTTTGGAGGACAGTGATCATCTGGTCTTTTTCCTCCAGCGCAGCATCAAACTCATCTTGTAGGTGTTTTTTGGCCTGCTGGTCCATTTGAAGCTCCTAGAGATAATTCAATATGTTTACTCATATGGGTATTTTAATTTAAAAACAGACAGATATCGACCTAGAGAGACAACATTTAAAAAAATATAGTCACACCTCTCGCAGCTCCCCAATCCGACGGAGAGCTTTATCCTGACTCTGACTGAGGATGACCTGAGGGGAACAAACATAAACAAACATCTTATCAGTTCAGATATTAATTACTTTTTCCAAAAGATGTCTGAAGAGAAAACAACAGGGAAAACATGAAATCAAGAATTAAATATTAGCCACCACTCTCGTTTGGCAGAAATTACCTGCGTTTTTTCTTTATCTCGTTGTACTGTTCTGTACGCAGTAACCAGCTGCAGCGTAAAGAAATGGAGGTAAATAAAAAAATAAATGCTTGTATGACCACTAAAAAGCCTGACAACGTAAAATTTTAATCTTCTAGGAGCCATTTTCTCACCTCTGAGTACTTCCCTCTATACTTGCCCAGACTCCTCTCCACTCTGAGCAGTCGGTGCACCAACTGCTCCTTAGAAAGAGACTCTGTGCTTCCTGGTGGCTCTTCGGCCTCGCTCTCAATATCGGATGGCGGATCATATGTGGGGCCTCCTGGGGAATCATTTTCTCCCAAAGGTGTCAGGGAGTCACGTGATGAGCTTCGGACCAGGTTTTCTTTTGATGGAGAGCGGAAAAGATTTTCTGCTCGACTCGCACCACCACGAATCAGCGACTCCATTGAGGGAACTCTTAGCTGTAGTTTCTGGGCAAATGACTGCGACTCCTCTCTCTGTGGGGAGCATAAAGACATGGCATAAAGAAAAGGACTTTAGACATATAAATTAATGTACAGCAGCATTACATCTCGACTTGAAAGAGGAGATAGGACAAGGTTTTGTACTACACATACATGAGGAGAAGCACTTCCATCGCCATTGATGCTACCTCTGGGAGACCTCGCAGGTCCTTTAGAGGCACTCTACAGAAAAAAAAACACATAATGAGCAAAGGAAAAGCTGTGCCAGTGAACTTGTCCTGGACCAGTTAGTCATCCACACCCAGCGTGGCTCTCCCTGATTACTCTGGAGGGAGCAATATTAGTATTGCTGGGAGCAATGCAGGGGCAATGGGTACCCTCATGCAACTTGGAAAAAACAGAGGGGTTAAATACATAAAAGAAGGCATCTCTACAGTACAATAAACGAAAAAGGGGTTAAGACGATACTCTACAGAACAGCCATTAGGTCAGAACAAACAGACAGTAGTTTGAGTCAAAGTAGGAGAGCTGGTATTTGAATTAAAGATGCTTGGCAATGCTGTGTGCAGCTGTATTACAAGAGCACAAACGGCGAAGTAGATGTAAGTCGACACTGAGCAGCTTAGTTGGTTTAGTTGACTTGTTAAAAGCAGGATCAGAGTGAGCAAATCTTCTCCTCCCTTGTCCAGCTCCGTGCTACTCCTTCCTCTGGATAACTGTGCAAAACAGTCAACATTTATTTCTTAATCCCTGTTCATTTTGTGTTTCTTCTTCATGGAATCCTGGGTCTGGGTTTTAGGAGAGCTACAATGCTGTTATGGACACACTAATTTTACAGTTAAGTGTTCCTGTCTTGAATGTTAAATAGAGGTCAGAGGTTTTAAGAAAAATATTCTCTAAAAACAAAAATACTGTACTGTGGTTACAGAATAGTGTGGATACAGGTGTATGTGAATTAACAGGAATTAAAGGTACCATGTGGAGTTTTTGACCAGTAGAAACACTGATGGATCAAGGCATTTCTGAGTGGGTTCCATTGTGTTTGTTCTTGTGCACCTGCACGAGAAACCAGGAGCATCTGCATATCAGGTGCTGATTACTTTATTAGATTTGTAGATTTAGTTTGCAGTCGGCAAGCTGTCCATCCTAGCACACAGTTTAAAGCAATGCAATGTAATGCGCTAGCAAAAGCAATGAAGAAGAAGACTGTCAGCAAGTCAGCACAGATGTAAAAAAAAACAAAAAAAAAGCAAATCTTAATCTTATAGGAAAACTCCACTGGGTACCTTTAAGAACCAAATTTTAAAAATCCCTGTCGCATACTTCACTTATGCTTGCTTAAACATTTATTTCACAGACTTTCGCTACTTTATCCAGTGCGTTATCACACTTAGATGCTTGCCACTTTTGCCTGGCTATTTTCGTTCATGTTAAAAAGTGGACAATGACTCATGGATAGCGAGTGTGGAACAGTACACCAACAGTGAACCAAGGCTTGAGTGCCTCTATTTCTGTGCTGCAAGATCAAACACTACATATCAAAATTCTCACAGGGACAAATGAGAAACCAAATCTCAATCACCATGTTGGCAACCACTCGCTCTGCAGCAGCACAGACAAATTGTATGGGACTGGGTCAATAGAGAGATATATCCAGCGAAACAAGCTTGTACTTCCAAAATAAAATGTTAAAAAACAAACAAATAAAAAAAGATAGTTGTTTGATGAGATTTTTTTTGTCATGGTTTCAGAAATTAACATTATGTGAGGACGAGATGTTGGTGGAGCATGACAGAGACACTGTGATGGATTTAGAATATTTGTGGTTAATCCCGAGAGATGATAATGACACCAGTTATATCTGTGCCTGCAGCACATCAAAACTCTCCAGACTGTAGACCTTACGTAACCTCCGTTGTACAGAGCGCAAAGTACAACAGATGTTGGATAAATGGAAGCGGCTAACCTGTTAAGCATAGTGCAGCTCTATCAATTATATTTAGCCTACATGTAAATAAGCAGCAGCAGAGATCAATGCTTCTTCATCCTCATCTTAAACTGCAAGCTACTCTCTACAGCCAACATCTGCTAAGAAGCGGGACAGACAGATCAGCGAATCAAATCACTTTTTCATGGTCAGGACATTGTACCATAAAATCAACATAAATACAGACTAATGGCAACAGCTGTACTGTATCATACGGTATATCCACGTATAAATGCGTGATTAACGAAGGAATTGAAAATAACATAAATCTTCTTAACTTGACTGTCACACCACCCCAACTTCCACTCCACACACAGCTGTTACTCTGCCAAGTAACAGTCTGTTACACCTCTGTTCAGTCTCCTGCTCTTTGTATTTTAAAGCTGCGACATAATGTCAGATAGCGTCACATCAACATGACACACTGACCAGCAGTCAAGCTGCTGTCCTGCACTGATGAAATCATGCAGTCATCTGACAAAGTTAACATAAATCCCAGTTAATGTTAATAACTCTGCTGGGCTTTGGCTTTGGGCTTCTGGCATTTAAAATGAGCAATCAGAGAGACGACAAAACAATGCTCTCTGAACTTCATTGCTATTCAGTCTGCCAGACCTACAGCGCTGTGGGGAATGGTCTGGCTGTGCCCAACATTGTTATGCTATAGAGGGATGCTCTGTTTTGTTTGTATTTTAATAAACCAAACACAATTTTCTTGGGTGGTGCTAAGCCCAGGATGCAGTGATGGTGCCGCTGCAAAATAGTGTCAGGAGGAACTGGAATATTTGCACATGGCCCAGTGAGCAATGTCATTGAAAAGGTTAATTTACTGAGAGAACCAAGCAGGCCAGCACTTAATACACGATCCAAATCTTCATGAAATTTTTACTATGTATGGTTTTAGCTTAGAGGATGTTGTTTGCCGTACAGAAAACGATTTTGGAAACGGTAAAATGCAGATCACGCAAGGGAGGGACAATGCTGCGTGACATGAGTGGCACAAATGGCTTAAAACTACGGTCTACATCCGGTGGGTCAGACTGATTTCCACACAGCCGTTGAGGCTCACTGAGCTGGCTCTGAACTTTATGCAAAAGCTCTGTTTACACATTAAAACACAAAGCCAGTGTTGTCACATTTACACAGTCTGGAGGCTGTTTTGAAAAGCTGTGCTTGCAAATTAATGTGGACACATTCTCAACCATTGATATACTCACTTTACAAGTATGGCATTGCTCTCATTAGTAAACATTGAAGACGTTAATCACAGGTTACCCAATGTAAAGAAGTTTACATTTTAGTATTAATGTTAACTAAAATGCAATTAACTTTCTAATAAGATAAGATACCCACATTTGTTCATGAAAATGGTAAATCAAATAGATCTTAGACATATGATGTGTTCAAAAATGTATGTATCCATTAGTATTTTGCCTGTAAAATGAAGAAACTATTCGATTTCCCTTCACTGCTGCAGTACCTAAGGCCTAATTTCTAGAAGAAATGTCTTGTTTATATCCCAAATTGTGAATATTAGGTTGTTTGAAAAGTTCTTTTTTTGCAGTGTTTTGCTGCCTACACATATAAGCACACATTATCTACAAAGGTTCCTCGGTCTGTTTGTTTACTTGGAAGAGTTACACGTAATTCAACATTTCAACTACTTAAAAAGTCGACCCGTAAAGAAAAACGTTAACTCTCCAAATAAACAGACTTGTGGGGAGGAAGGAACAAAGACCATCAGGCAACATAACAGGGTGTAAAGGGTCTATAAGGCAAGCAACTAAGGTCACCTAAAGACAAAGGGGCAATAATTAAATTCTATAACAGATCTTAAAAACTGAAAGGTGGGGCAATAAACCAACACAGGTCAGAAAGCACAGAAGCTTCTATCCCACAATGTAAACCACAACTCCCATTGGATGCAGGGTTAACCTACATATGAGATGCCTTCTTGTTGCTAAATCCAAAGCAAACAGGAGACAGATAGCAGGGAACAAGCTGTCCCTACTTGGGCCACAGTCCTCTACAGATTCCCCAAAGGCGCAGGAGACGGGAGGAAGGAACGAGGCAAGAGGAGGAGGAGGAAGAGAAAGATGAGGAGGAAGAGGCAGGAAGTGAGGACAAACTCACCACACTGGCTACCTGGGCCGTTTTGGGTCGTTTTGAATGGTCCAGAGCAAAGATAGTATACTCAGAGAGAAAAGCGGGCTCTGCTATCATCCCGGCCAGCATCTGACCCCGTCAGTGCAGTAACGGGACGAAAGGTGGGGAAAGGAGAGGAACACAGAGAGCAATGAGAAAAACAACACCATGAGTGTGAAATAGCGCTGAGGGGAGTGTCTAGCCAGCCTTTCAAGAGGAGGCTGGCCGAGAGGAACGGAGATGGATGGAGAGAGAGAAAAAGCAGAGAGCTGGAGAGAGTAAAGAGTGAGACAGAGGGAGAGACACTACATGAATTGGAAGAAAAATAAGAAAAGCGGAAAAGTGAAACATTTAATCAACATTAATGTCATGAATAACAGTTTGGCATCTCTACATATAGTTTTTTCTAGTTATGATGTTATCAAAAATAGGCCAAATCTGCCTCCAGTAGTCAAATTAAATCTTTCAGAGATGTCAAAGTGTTAAAGATTTGTGAGGTGAAAAAAGATGCTGCAATGCCACAAGAAGCTTCTAAGCTGAGGGCTCATGATCCTGCATTACAACAACACATCTGAACTTCCAAAGGACAGGGGAGAATGTAGAGTCTAGAAATCTGACCAAAGCAGGTGCTGTCATTATCCCAGTTTGGGGTCTGCGGTGTTGAAATGTGGAAAACTTGTGTGGAATATGTGATTACATTTTTTTTTTTTTTATCTGAAGATCAAACAGCTAAGACTGCAAACATCTATATTTAAACACTAAAACAAATGTGTTAGCCGTATGTTGCATCATCTTAGAGTCATTGTCAGTAGCTCACTGTCTACCTCTTTCCAATGAATCAAAGGGGTCTTAAATATACTTGCTCCTTCACACTGTGGCAACAGTCGGTAACTAGTTACCAGAGACAGAAAAACACAGAAGATGCATCAATTATTCAAACACATGCTGAAATATGGTCTGCTCTCCACCATGAAAATGCTCCTTCTATAGCCTCAAAATGAGACTCTCTTGGATGGGTAGTTTCAGTATAGTAGTGTTTCAGTATAGCAATGAAAAGCAACTTCTCTTGTGTCAGTGAATGAGCCATTATAAGAAATAAAGACAGTTCTTTAATGCTCTGATATTTCATTTGTGTTGCAAAATTTCTAAACAAATGTACACTTTTTGAGTGCAAATGCTTTTAAAGATAAACATCAAATGGGCTTCTGTACGTTTGTTTTTTTTTAATATTATAATGTGTCAAAATATCAGATCTATATAATGTCATCAAAGCTGATTGTTGATTGCGCTGCAGCAATAAAAATCACAATGTTAGCCCGGCCCATATGTTCTCATGAATTATAAAGACCCTGTGGTGATAGTTCCAATAAGCAATGCAATAAGCTTGGGAGTCTTGGGCATAATGTGTGTCTCTTATTCCGTTAACTTATTTTGAAAGGAGAGGACAATTAGTGAAAGTTATTAGCCTGTATTCTTTCAAAAGTGACAGCATTACGGGTTACCTTCGCTTGGCACAGCCATCAAAAAGGCACTGGTATGCTATTGGGGGAACATTAAGCGCAACACATGACAGATATTTGAAGACTGACAGAAGCATTACTTTGGATTGAAAATTAGAATATAAGCTGGGGAGAGAATATGACATTTTGAGCACAAGCACATATATAAGCATACAGAAATATAAATATTTATGTCTCTCACAGGCTGACACCATGCTCACCTCTCTGTCACTGGGAGAGGGTGTGCCATCAGGATGATATGGAGGGGTTTGGCTGCTGCGCCGGTCTCCACTGCCCATCTGTTAAGATAAATTGCATCATAACTATGCTCTATTTTCTTATTTGAAAAAGGTCAACTCTTTTGGTTGGCTGCCATACAAAAATTTGATGGACCACGACAATACTGCTGTTTGCCTGATGTAGCTTGTCTTGTCATTGCTGGTTTTGCAGAAGCGGATTCGTGAAGAACAAACGAACTTAAAGTAACACATTGAAATTTTCTCCAACAAAAGGGTCAGGCTGCAAAAAGAGCAACCCAAAGTCGATAAAGAAATACTTTGCATAATGGAAAAGGAATTAGAGATCTCTCCATTAAAACATACATAGGCGTCTCTCATTCAAAAATCTAAAATCTATAAATGTGCAAATATTTTTCATTTCAAAACTTCAACTCCTGCATACAAGAAGTCTCCTACGTCACTGAAAGACCATCCTCACTGTATGTGTAATACAAGCTTCAATTTTTCACATCGCTCTTAAATGAATGGACGTTAACTACTGAACTAGGACTGATTCTCAAACCACCTGCTGTGTCACACATTCTCTATGACAAGTTAGGGTTTGTATTTTGTGTTTTGGATTTTAACAGCAAACCAAAAAGCTATGAAAATAGGAATCATTGGTGTTCAAGCTGGAGATGAATGGTTAAAAATAAATAAATTAAGTAAACATATGCATAGGTGCAGTGACAAATGAGGACTGGATGGACCTGAGCAACGTGAATATGATGAACACATGCAGTACATTGCAAACTACCCCGAAGCTGGACATAGTGCACTTTTGTAGCATTATACCAAGTTTTTAAGTAACATTTTGAAATCAGTAAGCTAGTTTCTCTATTTATAGCTGATATAATACAATGGTAGGCGTTTGGCAACAGTAGGATTGGAAAGCGTCGAACAGTTTAAAGTGTTAACAGCTGCCAGCTCCACTTGAAGCCAATGCAAGCAACACAACACAGACACGCCCATACTGTCAAAATGTCAATTATATAGTTTCTGGATCCTATTTTGGTTGGTATCTTTCATTTTTCCACCCGGGACAAGGAGGTTTACAAGTTACAGGTTTCCTTGAACGCACCTCACTAACTAGCAGCAGCTACTGACAGCTAAGTTAGGAAGCCAGTTAAATGACTTAGCATGGTGCTAACGTTTACAATAGCAAAAGGGCGAGTGGCGAGTCAAGTTAAGTAAAGTCGACAGCCAATGGGACATCTTTAAACAATGAACAATCCCTCTGCGACACGGTAACCATCTTTTTGCGGAGCACCACAGTAGTGTAAACAGACATTAGCTTAGCTTGCTAGCTTCGAGCACCACAACAACCAACCTGGGCCTGCTGTGGTGACTGCGCATTCCTCTGCGGTGACTGCTCCTCGTTTATCCTCTGCTTAAGTTTCTTAAACATCTTGCCACGCCGATGTAGCTAACAACCTGCGAGCAGATGTCTACTATGCGGCGGAGATGTGTTTTGTCTCCTTTTAGCTTGACATCCAGTTCTCCGGGCCAGACTTCCTTGTTCGCCTCTGATTTTCAGCAGGTGGCAGGGCCGTCTGCGCATGTGCGGCCAACGTGGAGGACAACTGAAACGTCAGAGTTAAAGGGACAGTGAAGGGTCGTTTAGCTGCAGCGCCCCCATTGGAGGAAAAAGACACTCCAGTAATTCTTAAAGAATATTAACATCATAACTAAAAGTCATTATGAAAAAACGACCGTAAATGTCGTTTAACAGTGTACATTTGAACACAGGATCCAGAAAGTATTTCCAAACATTCATCTAAAACAGATGATTATGATGGTTAGGTCGCTGGGTATATAGATGGATGGACGGATGATGGATGATTTTTTTTTCTGTGCATAAAGGCGGATACAGCAACACAAAGACAAAATAAATCCAGTTACAGGTCAAATCAAACTGTCACATTCAACAGATCTTTACTGAGTAGTGTACAGTAGGCTGAAAATACTTGAAACAACTCCCATTAATGCACTATCTTGGCATTTGTAGTTTATTTAACCCTTTACAGGGCACTCCTTGAAATACTTGGAAAATGAAAATTTCAACCCTAGGGTGTTATTGAAGCATATTTCAAGATAGTTTTCTTTTGTGACTTTAAAAAAATGTTGCAAATCAAGATGAATAAAGTCAACATATGTGGTAACTTATGGTAAAAAAAAAAAAAAAGGGAATTTATAATAAATAAAAGAAAAATCAACAAACTGCAAACAACATTTATTTAGAAACATTTTAGTTTGAGGTAATGATACTTACACAACCAGTAATAAAGTATTTATAAAGTGCTTGGCAAGTTCATTTAGTAACATTTTTCTTGGGGTAGTGGTATTAGTGGCACTAATCTCAAAAAATAAATCAAAGTGGAGTTCAATGCAAACCAGTAACAAAGCGTTGATAAAGTGCCTGGAACATTTGTTTAATGACATTTTTTGTAAGGTAGTGATATTGGTACTGATATAAAAACTAAATCAAAGTGCAAATGGTTCTTCAACCTCAAGGAGAGGCACAGGATGGACATACTGAACATCCAAGGAAGTTATCGAATATGGTCACTTGCCCCATAAAGGGTTAAAGGTGAGTACAGGACTCTAATGCATACAAATAAACAAAATCCCCACCCCCACCCCCCCAAAAATAAAAACAAAACAACCATGATACATCCATTGCTGTGGAAACCAGCAACCACCAACTGAAATAATGAAATAACAAAGGTAGGTTACAAACTCAATTTCTTGCTTTGTTGTCTCTGAGTATAAGGTGCAGTGGTTTGGAGGGGAAAGGGTAGGGTTATATAAAATCTACTGGAATAACAGGCTATGCAGTGCAGTAGTAGGAGTGGCAATTTCATCCAAGGTGTGTTGCTAAAATTGTGATTTTAATGCACTTTAGAAAACTTAGAACTTAAGCTGACATTTTTTTTTTTTTACATACCAATACTGTATAAGCATGCTTTTATAATATCTCCTTTAATGTGGAAATAAAGGACTACATATTGACTTTACTGGTCGCAAGGAGATTAGTTAGCTGGAATAATGGTATGATTTCATTACTTTATGTATAAGGAAGCTACATGTATATCTTATGTCTGTTATGAGACAGTTTTTAACACTTGGGCTACTGCAAGATCCTGTTTAAGATCTTTGTGTAATGATGCTTCACACTTTATATGAGTAACACTTTGTGTGTAAAATTTAATAGGATGTATTATTAGAAATAGATTTCTATGATGCCACTTATGATTGAATATATTTTTTTGTTTGTTTTTTGACTTCAATACTTGTTTTTATTATATAGTTGGTGCAGTGGCTCCTACCCTTTGACTTATGACTGTCTAAAATGAAACAAGTTGTACTCATGATCCCTTGTCCCAGGTTATAGCTTTACTCTCACATAGTGTGGCAGAATTTCAACTCAAAAGGGATTTTTTCTTTTCACACAATTAGATTTGAATATCTTTAAGAGTCTAAAAATGTAAAAGTATTCAATATTTTGCAAGCAAACACAAAAATTAAGGCAAAGTCCACATTTAGTGGTGGTGTGCTGAATAATTTTTAAAAATTGTCATCAAATTTGTATCAGTACTAAGCCACAGGATGGGAGCTGTTATTCTTAGAAACATTTACATAATTTATTATGCATAGACAACTTTGAAAACCACATTCCTGCAGCAAATATAAACTAAACCAATCAAACAGCATTTTCTCACTTTGTAAAAATATATTTTCCAACACGTTTGTTTGTATAAAACAGAAACTTTACGGCAGATGTACACAGCATTATGTGGTCAGAAGAGGGCACTGTTTAAGCATGCTTTGCAGTTATTTTTGCTTTTGGTCAGTCAAAAGCTCAACTAATAAGACTTACATAATGTTTCATCTTGCGTGCGCTATCAAGTTTTCACGGCTGGTAATATTTTTTCACTGCTAGAATGAAAGTTAATTACTTTCTCTGTATTCTTTGGCGGCGACCCTGAAAGTGAATGTCACAGGGGAAGGCTGCAGTGCTACACAGTGTTGCCAACTTAGCAGCTTCTTGTGTGGTAATTAATGCCTTTGTGCTGCTCCGTCTGAACCCGAGCCAGTTCCTGCAGTGCAATGCTGCTAAAGCGAGCAAAGAGGTTTGTACCATCACAAGCAGATGACCTTTAGTACAACAGCTCTTTTGCCAGTGTGGCATTGAGCAGAATGAAAATTTTCTACTGTAGCAGAGTAGATGTTTTTTTTTTTTTTCTCAGAGTTTCAGATTCAAAATGTTCTTTTAGATTCAGAAAAATGATATCCACAAAATACTCGCAGGATTATTACAAATGCTCTAGCTCTCCCACATGCACATAAGCACCCATTGATTTTATCATTTTACACCTATAAACCTACCATCTACAATGCACCCACCTTCACAGAGGCTCTGTGAAACATATAATAACATATTTAACGGGATTTCTTCTCTACTGCAGATTCCTGTTTGTAGAACTTGAAGCATTTGTTTTACATGAGTTCATAGTGAGGCTGCCGTGATTTATAACCATTGTAGGCTAGAATCTGTCTTCTCAGTAGTAACATGGCACATGGGACACATATATCACACACGGATCAAAGTGTTTATTATTTATAAGATGCTCTGTGTAGTCCATGTACTACATGATGTTTTATAATAATCTTATATCTATGCATATCTAAAAATAAAACGTCTGTATGTTTGCTCTTCTTCTGAGTCATAATGTCCTTTGGTAATGCAACAAAAACTGCAACAGACACAGAAGTTGATAGGAAAGATCACACAGTAGGTGTGAGTCATGGTTTAAATATGTGCTATTTCCCTCCTTTGGGATCTGGCCATGTGCAAATATCTGGAAAAAAAAACCCCAAAAAAAACCAACATCTCTGAGTCAGACTTTGCTGTCTGGTGAAGAAAGAATACAAGTCTTGTCATTTCAGGCCCTAAAGTCATTTAAATGAAAATGAAGACGTGATTTGCATTTTTTCTGCATTTTTTCTGGAATGCTTATGACTCAGTGGGGCTTTTGATTTACGATGGGTGGTTGGTACAGCGAGTATGAACGATGGGTGGTTAACAGCAGAGCGATGCAGCTCCTCTATACCATGCGGCACTTAATGCAGCACTCTGAGGCACTCAACAAAGAGAACGTGAACTCTGAACAGAAGTCGGCCTCTGTGTGTCTGCTAGAGGTTTTGTTTTGGACTGTTAAATAACAACTTTGTTTCAATATACAATACATGTATTATTTCCAAAGTAGTTTATAACTTAACTGTTCTATAAAGTCGGGACAACGAGTCCAAATGTTACACTTGCAATGTTCAAACAGCAATACAATAATACTCAGACTGTTGACAAGTGCAGGATAAGAATAGAACAGTGGAGGGAAAATTGTGTAAGTGTGAATAGTAAAATGAATGATGACTGAATCCTGTTTAGCTGCTTCAGTTTCACAGTCCTGGTAGTGTGATGTCCTGGCTCATTGTCATGCTGTCGTGGCTGACTGGGAGATTGTTGCTATTTCTGTTCAACCTTTAATATTTACAGTTGTAGAAGAAGTCCTGCTTCACTCAAGTAAAAGTATGAATACCAGAGTTGTTGGTTTTTTTTTTCTACTCCAAGACCTGCATTTGAAATCTCACTTAAGTGCAGAAACAGCAAAATGCACCTCAAAAGTAAAGTAGGATTATACATGATATTTTAGACAAATTATTGCTACCAGTGTATGAGCATGTAAGTTGTGTGTTTCCATTTTAACTGCTTGAGGTGAAGTTAGCTGTAGCTGCTTTATTTACAGTTAGGTCATTTTAGTCCAGTGGCTTCCAGCCAAGGGTCAGTCACCGCCACAGGGAAGCAAGATAAACTCATGGTGTCATTAGATGCCTAATAGGGTTAGAAAAAAAGAAACAATAAAGTTGTGCTGCACAAATAGCTTCTATTTTTTCAACCCTTGTTAAATCTTTGCTTCACTGAAGTATTTGATTTTACCTTCCTGAGCGTTGAACAGGTATTTACAGTCCCTCTCTGGTCATTTATTAATCCCCTAAAAAATCCTCTGTGTGTATAAAGATTGCATATTTAAACGTTCATTTCTGGAAAATAATTCAATAATTTATAATCCCTTCCTGCCTTCAGATGATTCAGATCTAACTCTACACTGCTGATTCATTTAAAGAGTCCCAACCTCACTCCCCACCTGCTGCAACCCAAGCACACCAGCTCACCTACAACAATGCTGAAACATTTTAAAACTACTCGATGTTCAGAAATTGTGATATCGGATTAATTCAGCCAAACATGTTTTAACCTGAGACCAATTCTTTAGAAGTAAATTGATACAGAAAGCCTCACCGCGTAGTTGACGTGATTGGTTCCTCAGGGTTGTTGCGTTTAAACCCACGGCTGTTTGATTCTATGTTTCTCAGACTTTCTTTGCACATTAAAACCCTTAAGAAATGCTCAACCGTGGCACTGACTGCTTATTTCGCTCATGGTATATTGTCTAGCCTATAAACAATCCCATATGGACCAAGGAAGTAC